GAGAGAGAGAGAGAGAGAGAGAGAGAGAGAGAGAGAGAGAGAGAGAGAGAGACAAAGAGACAAAGAGAGAAAGAGAGAGCGAGAGAAGGGAGAGAGAGAGGCGAGCAAGAGGAATGTTGCGGAGGGGTGAAGAGGACGGCGGGTTGTTATACGTGGCCTATTCAGAAATGCTCGTGCTCTCTGTTCAAAGACCCATTACGAAAATGACCATTAAAATAAATTACTCTCATCGTGGGGGCCGCTATATAGAGCGACAGGCTGCCTCTATAGTGCCAACTCGCCGACCGACTCTCGTTCGATAGCCGCGAATACGTGACGCGGAAGTAGTCGGCGGTACGAATCAATTTGCGTAAATAATAGTACGGCTCGCGCCTCGACCGCTAACAATGGGAAAATTTGCGCCGCGCCGGATACACGGGCGCTTCGGCCATTAAATCGCCCGCACGTACGTGCGGCGGGGCCTCGTAAAATTTTCGGATTTTGAGCGCGCGTCCTGAAACGTTCCGCAGTGTCAAGGAGTGATCGTATCGGGGAACCGTCAACGCTACGTGAAACACATTTCTGCTCATGACTCTTCGTCGCGCGCGTTTCGTCACTCACGCACGACAACTTCACGCGAGATTATCGAGACTCGCGGAAATTTCTCGCAAGGATAATAATTTTATTCGCGCGAATTCTTTCGCCTTTTTACTGCGAATTATTTATTATATATATATATATATATATATATATATATATATGTATCGAATTATTTATTATACATATATATGTATCGCAAAAATACTTTCCCAGAATTGTTTGTGCCCTTTTTCTTCTTTTTAATTACAATTATGCATAATATTTTAATTGATAAACGCGGAACGTAGTATACATGTATGCTATCTGTGGGCGTGTGTTTGTACATTTTGCATTTCTATAGATATACGCCGGAATTAAAACCAATGTTTGTACTAGCGGTGCGTTACCTTCATACAGACGGCATTTATGCCTGTTCCAGGTTCCACAAACAGTAAACCTTGTTTGTATCAGTATTACACTGATATTTTTAATTCCAGCCAGCTTGTACGGATCGGTCGACTTTCCTGTTTACAGGAACCAACAACAACATCTGTTATTTCATATTTATGCCTGTCGCAAACACATCTATGTTTAGCTTTCACGTGGCGTGCGTTTTACCGAAAAACAGTTACTTTTTTTTTCTTTTTTTTTTTTTACTAGCGACTGCATCACAGAAATATATTATATTTCTGCATCGACTTGCTCTCTTACGTAATATCGTGAGTCACGTTCTCTCGACTTTGCGAAATAACAGACGTTTCCCGTTTTATCGCGAAAAGCACGCTCGTTCCGTCCGCGAGAATTTTTCCATCCAATCGCGAGATCGAAATTTTGATCCCACTTTCGGCCTCAATATTCCATTCAATGTCTATTTTGACATTTTGAATCCTGCATCAGTCTCTTTTAATTCTGTTTAACCTACTAACTTTGACGAGACGTCCTCTTTAGAACCTACTTAAATGACGTTTTGTGCGTTTTTTGCCATTCAGAGACGCTAAACAGAACTTCAGCTTCCATATGTCTTAAACATACACTGATGCTTTAGAATATACAGATGTCAGAAAATTCAGGTCGAAAGTAGGGCTGAAATGTCGACTCAAGATGCTGCATTTTAACAAAGAGTATATTAATAACAAGTTTTTTATCAACTTTCATATGATGGCCGCAGTTCTATAAACTTTGCCGAAGGCGATTTTGGGGTTTGGGGAATAGCGGAATAATTCATTTACAACGAACACTATAACCCTATTTTAGCGTGCTGATATTAACTTACCGATCGATCACGCGATACAAAACACTGGACAATTTCCATCGTATCTATCATATCTCGATATCGCATCGCACTTTTTCCCGAGTAATACCGACTATATCATTATTATCACGCTTCTCTCTCTTTCTCTATCCACCTCTCTTTTCGATATTCCTTATAATATCCGACAGCGTATCAGAAACGGCACGTACGCGTCCGTGTGAGAAACATGCGCGGCGGTAATTGAATCTCTCCGTTCCATTAAAATAATATCTCAAACAGTGCCTGTGGAGTTCGCATTGTCTTTTTTTCCCCCTCTCTCACCCCTCTCTCACCCCTCTCCTGAGCGAGTGTGTGTATGTGTGTGTGTGTGTGTGTGTGCTCGCTTGTGCACGTGTGTGTGTACGTGCGTGCGTGTTTTTTCTATCGGAATTCCAAGCGGGAGGAAAGATCTATTTCATTCGCATTCGTCGGAAATTTTCCGTCCTTTGTTTCACCGTGGCGTGTCAGATAGCGCCTTCCCTCGCGAAAGTCAAGCGCGCGTTTGATGGCGGATAAAATGCCGGTACATCAAAATCCTTTTTCGGCGCGATTCAGCAAATATTGACGCTCGCGAATTGAAATTTGCATCGACAGCGAAATTGGCAAAATATTTCCGCTCGTAAAATAGCGTTTGGCGGCGGCAACGATGGCGGCGGTGGCGGCGGCGGCGGCGGCGGTGGTAGTAGTAGTGGAGATGGTGGTGGTGATGGTGGTCGTGCAGAAACGAGACGAGAGTCAAGAGGGACGCAAGAGAACGAAAAGAGAACGACGAGGGCCTTCCCTCGGGATACCGACTGGACCAGGGAAAACTGTAGCCTTAAATTTAATATGACGCGTGCTGCGATCGATTCGCGCCTTCCGGCCACTCGTACCGCCAATCGAATTCTACGGCAAATATTATGCGCCTTGTCCTTGCTCCACGGGACGCAACACACGCGAGCCTGTCGCTTTTCACGATTTTATTTAGCGAAACTAAACTGTGTCCTATTCTGTCTCCTTTCTCTGCCTTTCTCTCCCTTGTTTTATTATCTTCTATATACATGTTTTACGGGCGCAGAACGAACAATCCTTAAATATGACCCTTACAATCCTAAAATATGAAATATCAGGATATAGGAAATATCAGGACCGACTGTCTCGTAAAATTGAGGCGGCGCGCTCTCGCAAAGAACGAGAGGCTATTAATAATTAACACATCGAGCTAAGAGACCGGCTACGATTTCTTTTTCGCACAACTATCGATCCTCCTCTCTCGCTAACGACGAAAATCGATCTTCGGCTTTTTCAGGGCCCGGTCGGGGAGGTGGGCGTGAGGCTGCCTTTACAGTCATTACATGGATACGGATCTGTGTTCATGTACTCGGCGTCGACGAGCCCCGGGGGTGGAAGTGGCCAAGGTGGCGGAGGCGGAGGTGAGGTCACCCTCCGCCTCCGCGAACCCGAGGACATTCCTGAAGATGTCCTCGCGCGCCTCGAGGACACCGCCACCCTCTCCATCTCTTTTCAAAGCGATGCAGTGCTGAGGCTAGGGGCGGCTGGCACAGGTGAGTTCTCTCTTCTCTCGCCGCTTCGCTTCTTCGCGTTGCTTGCTGATCAAACACGAAACGCGGCGGCGACAGCAGCGACAGTATGTTTGTTATGATATCGCGCGGACAGGTGGTTAGACACGAGAGCTCTATTCCGCAATCGATTCTAAGTAATTCTAAGAAAACAACGAGACGCGCCGGAGTCGCGTGGTGCTCTAGTTGAAATTTTAGTTCTACTTTTGACCTGAGCCTTTCAACGTCTGTGTATTCTGAAGAATCAGTATATATTTAGTACACATGGAAAATGAAATCCCACTTTGCACCTTTGAATGGCAGAAAACATACGATAATGCCACTTGTAGATTCTAAAGAGATCCTCTCAGCAAAGCTGAGATAAGTAGAATTAAAAGAGGTTGATATAGTCTTCAGAGTATCAGTGCAGGCGTTCAGTGGAATATGAGGTCAAAAATAGGATTCAAGTTGGGTGAATTGAGATTTTTATAAAACACGCCAGCATATAAAAGTACGCAACGCGCACGCCTCTAACGTTTGCGTTTTGCCAGCGGATAAGTGGCCGCGAAATATGGAGATAATGTGTAAGCGGTCGGCTTCTCATCGAAATTTATTCCCAAGCTTTCTCGAGTCAAGATCGAGTTTTATTTATTCGTTTCCTTCCACCGTGATTTGTTGCACGATGTAGGTAAAAAGGCTCGCCGCCCCGACTACTAGTTCGCGGCGTGGCTGCTAATAAATAATTGGCTTTGTACAGCGCATAAATTTCCTCTGGCTACCCCCGGATTTATTATAACGCGGGCCGCGCTACTCCTCTCCCTTTCTCTTCCTCTCTTTCTCTCTCTCTCTCTTCCTCGTATTTTTGGGATCGCGTTTAATACCCACGTTTTCGAAGAGCCGAGTCGCGTGGTCCGACTAGATTAGCCGCGGTACCCGGAACCCGTGTGTGCTCTAATGCAGAATTATTTCGACGGATCAGAGTAATCCTCACTTTATGCGATCGCACCCGAGACTTTTTCCCCGACACACGGAACGATCCATTCGCGTCGCCGATAATCGTCCTTAACCGCGAGATCGATGAAGTTCATTCCGACGCGATCGAAACGTCGGTTCTGCAAGTAATTGATGAGACGCCGCAGTCGAGTTGAAATTTCACAGTTCTATCATTAATCCTGCAAATACCGTCGATACTTGAGAGATCAATGAAAAATCTCGAGACGTAACATGCGCAGATACAGGCTATTGTGATCTCTGTATGATCTTGTAAACACTTGTAACATTTTATGTTAATCAACCAGGTCGTTTTTTGAGAACTTTTTGATTTTTATTTGTTATTTGTAATCCCGAAACTTTATATACTTAATTGCTTCTTTAATGATAATAAATGCATTTATCTATCAATTTGACCCCAGAATTAAATAAATCTACTTAATATCTTGGTGATTGAAAATACTTTTTCATAGTTTATCTAATCATTTCACATATCGTGTTATAATATAAAAAATCATTTTGCGTTACATAATGATATTTAAGCATTTAATACATAAATAATTCCCAATAGCGTTCATGCACATTGCTCTTTTCTTACTACTAGCAATCGAGGGTCTTTCAAGACACGCGGCGTCAAACGGTTATTGCTACCTTTTCTGAGCGGCAGGTGACTATTCAGATCGAATCGTTCTTCGAGCGCGGAAAGCGGCCGAATCGCTTACACCGACGCTTAAACTCGCAACCTTTCCTCCCTCTCCGTCGTGTTTTCCGAAGCACGAAACTTTTAGACTTTCCGTATAGTTGCCATTTTCCATTCAGCTGGAACATTCATGTGCCCTCTACCTTCGCTAAGTAATTCTGCTTCGTCGGGTCTCTCTTTACGAGCGGTCGCGGATATGGAGAACTTCGGCCGGAAAATTTCCACGGAAGGCACGCGGATCCCCGTGTTCGAGAGGATATCGAGAGTCGCAGCCGGAATCCTGCCCCGCCAATCAAGGATTATATTTCGGATCGCGGAGAGATAGCTAGATAGATAGATAGATAGATAGATAGATAGATAGATAGATAGATAGATAGATAGATAGAGAGAGAGAGAGAGAGAGAGAGAGAGAGAGAGAGA